AGTGGTTGTCGTTGAGGTAATGCTAGTAGTGGTATTAGTGGGGATGATGGTGAAGGTGGTGGTAGTTGTAATGGTGGTGGTAATGGTGGTGATAATTGTAGTTGGTGGTGGTGGTGGTGTTCGTGTTGATTATGGTGGTGGTGGTGGTGGTGGCTGTGGTACTGGTGGTGGTGATGGAGGAGGAGGTAATGGTGATCGTGGTGGTTCTGGTGTCAGTAGTGGTTATAGTGAAGGAGCAATTTCTTTTGGGAGAATTGTTGTTTGTTTGATTGTTGTTGGTTGTTTTTTTGTTTGTTTGCTTTTTGTTTGGGGAGTGAATACTTTGTTAGGGTGACCAGTAAAAGCATTCGATCGAAGTTTTTGTTTTTAGTTAGTCACTGTCTTATTTCATGACAAGACCAAAGCTCTAAAACAGTACAACTTTGTGAGATTAAAGATAAGTACATTAGTCTCAAAATGGCTACCAGATTTTATAATAATATTTGATTTTAAAAAGCACTAATATACACCAACGAAACTAACAGTTTACGCTAGTAAAAAAGTAAAAACGCCTGTAGTAACGCCCTCCAACTTATCGGCATGGGCACTTTCACTTCTAGGATTAACGTCACCAGGTTTAGGGTTAACCTCACCTGGTTATGAGGTCATTTATTACCCTGATGAGTGCCCCAGACACAGGCCCGGCCCTCCAGTCTCTCTCGTCGTCTGCTGTTTGCCGTCCTCTCAGTTATCTCTCCGCAGTTCCCCCCAAAACAGATTAACAGACAGAATCGTTTGGAGATTTCACCCACAGCGAGTTCTTAAAGGTAAAACTAATCTATTTCCTATATATGAAAAAAACCTATTTCCTAAACGAAAAAAAAATTCATTTCCTAAAAGAGAGAACATTTTTTTCTTGAAGGAAAAAAAAAATTATTTCAAGCTATTGCAAGCAAATACAAAACTCAAATAGTTCTCAGTGGAATTGATCGTTCTTCTATTTATAATTTCGTCTCGATTAAACTTTGTTCGCCGTTTTGTGTCAATATATTTCATCGTCTTTATTAAAAAGGGGTGGAACTTAAGACAGGGCACAAAGGAACGGAGTTGCCTGTACAAATACCCGCGTGAGATCGCTTTCCGTTTTGTCAACACGTTTTGTGGACAGCGATAACGGCCGTCTGCAAATCAATGAGGACTGAAGCCAAAAACAGCTAAGGTCTTCAACTAATTCTCGATTTCATCGGTGGAGAATTTTCATGGAGATAAAAGGATGCAAGGAAAACTGATTTTTTCGAGCCTTCGTTTCAAAGGGACAAACTATGCTCTAAATAATAATATGTGTCACAGATACGTGTATATAATGGTATTCAGTCTTTGATTGTATTTTTGTAAAGCCTTTTTTTCTGCCCGACGAGGGTATAATTGTGACAAGAATAAATTATCTATTCTTGTACCAATGAACTTGACGCTATACTATCGTTGTGCTGTAAACAAGGACGAAGCAGCTAACCTTTTGAATAATCTCAGTCGTTGTAGCAGGGGAGTAAAACTTATATGGAAGTAACAATTATTAATGTTCTAATTAGGGAGACCAAATCTTTCTCTAATTTTCTTTGTGACGACAGGTAAGAAAGTAAAATGTTGATACGGTATGTTGTCGGTACGATGGGACATCTATCTATATACTCGTTATAATATTTCAGTTGTGCTCAAGTCTAAAAAGAGCATATCTCACATTGTAGGCCAACGCTTTCGTCCTCAAACTTCAAAACTCAAATGAACAGCTGCACTGCGATCAAAATCTTCGCTCCCCAAGGGTTCGGTATATGCACACACAGAAACACACACACACACACACACACACACATACACACACACACACACACACACAAACACACACACACACATACAC